AAAGGGCAATTCGACCTGTACGCAATTTAGTTTTCTTAGTCTCATGGGCACCTTGGTGGGCCCTCCTGCAGAGGGGTAATTCGTCGTGTGCCAATGTAATTGACTGGACCCTGCCTCCAAATTTCAAACGTCAACAGGCTTGCCAAGCTTGGAAGGGGACACCCTAAGCCCCAAGCCCACAATCCTTAAATGATTCAGCATATCCCCTTGTAATGGTACGTACAAACCAATATAGCCCCCTATAACAATCCCTACCTACCAGGGTAGTGCTGTTGCGAGTAAGTTGGCCCAACACGCTAATACCTAAACCCTTCAACCCCTTAGCCCCCCAAACCCTCAAACCCTAAACCCTCAAACCCTAAACCCTTAAACCCTAAACCCTAAGCCCTTAAACCCTAAATCCTAAACGCTTAAACATTAAGCCCACCATGACTTGCCCAATGGAAACTGACAGAGCTTGGACTGCCGTCTATGAGGCTTCAGAGGCCGTGGCCTCCAGGTTGGAGGCAACCATTCTGGCATTTTCGGGTGTAGGGTTTAGGGTTTAGGGTGTAGGGTCTAGGGTTCTATATGGGGTTTCCCAAAATTGCTGGTAGGTTTTTGGGGGTCCCCATAAAAAGAGGATTATAGCATTTGGGGGTCGATATTGGGGTCCCCCTATTCTGGCAAATTTTAGTACCATATAGCGGATATGGGGTTTGTTTATGGGCAATATAGGGTTTAGGGGTGACAGAGGCATGTGAGGAATAATTTGAAAAACGGGTAACAGTTTAGGGATATTGACCCTTTGGAACTTAGAATCAAATTGGAAAGAACAGTGAACATCTCGTGGAAAGTGAGTTTAATGCACGTACAGCTTGAAGGGACCTATGGTTGAGCTGGGATTGAAGGTCTAGTTTTGCTGTTGAGGGGTTGCTGGTATCGAGGGCGGAGGATTTTCCCATGTTAGCGTGGAGAGTTGTTAGGTTCTCTGGGCTAGGTTTTTTCACAGATCCTCAAATGTACAACTTACATTCCCGATGCAGCCGGGCACGTGCGCTGCGAGAAAAGTATTGCCTCATACTGTTGTCCTCGTACATAAGGGGACCCCACTATGGAGCCTAGAATCCTATATTCTTATGTTACGACGCTCAAAAGGTACCCCTGACTTTTAAAAACAGAAGCCCATATGCTCTGCTGTCGCAGCATCTGAGCCTACTTGTCTCCCAAAGTTGAGTTTTGGAGTGGCACTGCCTATTTCAATAAACATATAAGGCAGGTGCAGAGACTCGTGTGGTTGGTTAAAGGCCTCAGGAGCAGCAAATGACTGATAGGCTAGGCTGCACCCGGAACTTGCGAAGTGGAAATTCAGTCCATCAGCCCTTGAAGCTGTTGCTCCATAAACTTACACTCGTAAGCTTACAGTCAAGCACGCGTTGAAGCTTAGTCTGTGGCAGGCAGAAATACGAGCTGTAGCTGATGCTCAGGCGGGGTTGCTGCTGAAGAGTGGTTGTTCTTGCAGAGCGACTACATTGGAGTTTTTCAAAAAGGGTACCCGTGCCTGATGTACCCGAGGGGTATATGGAGCTAACCAGAGGACCCTGAAGTCCCTATATACCCAACAAGTACTTTCCATGTTGTTTTCCATTCCCTCATTCCTTGCTATCCAGAGGTAAGACGCAGGGTCTCATGATGCTGATGCTCAGCCTGTCAGGTGGGTTCATAGGTACTCCACTTAGGTTCATACCCAAGCCATAACCAGGTTATATCCTCCAGTGTCCTCTCAATGTTTGTATATGTCCAACACTAGTGTGTCGTAATAAGCCGCATCAAGAGTTCGCTGATGATTTCCTTACCCCTTAGCTCACTTGGGCCATGACGCTCGGAACACCAAGCTGTGCAGACGGCCGACAAAGTCTTATGCCACGTGTTATGACAAGCCTCCAAGTTACAGTCTGACAGGGCAAGCTAATGTAACTTATAGATCATCCTTCTATAAGCCTTACAGTCCCACATAATCTCCTGTCCGAATCTGCCCTTAACACTAAGCCCTAAACCCTGAAGCGCGCGCAGGCAAAGCTTCTCCAGGTCGTCGAAGGCATGTCGCGTGAGCTGGCGCGGGCCCGCGTCAGCGACCCCGGCAACGTGATTTCAGTGATGCTTTAGCGATTATTGCTGTCATTCTTTTCTATCATGTTTCAGCAACTTGTTTATTTTTGCTGTTATTTTATCGCTTTTATGATTGTACTTACTATTACTACTGGCGTGTGGTGGAGGGCATCCCGGGTGTCCTGGCACTTGCGCATGCCGTGAACGAGCGGCCAAGTACATCACGTGCCTTAGGGTTTAGGGTTTAGGATCAACAGCATGAGCCGTGTAGAAGATCAGTCGGTCCAATAACATAGTAGTTCCATTCCTTTGGCCGTATATTAATCCTGTATATACGTAGCCCCTTAATTGTTGTCACGCTCCTGCGTTATCAGCTTGAGTCAGACGGGTTGCAAAAGATTGGGCCATCTAAGTGCCTGAGGAAGGACCTTGTTTGGAGTAGCCTAATGGATTAGGGCCTCGATGTTCAATTTCTGGAGTCACAAAAAGCGTCCGTAATTGTTTCAAGCCTTAGACCCTAAACCTTAGTCCCTGGCCCCTAAGCCCTAAATAGTAGTTTCCGTTTCAAATCCTAAACCCTAGACCCTGAACCGTAAAACCCAAATCCTATACCCTAAACCCTAAACCTTACTCCTTCGGAAACCCCGTTCCAATCACATCAAGTACGCTGAGGCTGAGGCTGGCAGCGGCCACGATGCTTGGGAGTTGACAAGCCAGGAGAGGGGTGTAGGGATTAGGGGTTGGGGTTTGGAGTTTCGGGTTTAGGATTTGGGGTTTGGGGCTTGGGGTGTAGGGTTTAGGATTTAGGGTTTAGGTGTCAGGGTCTAGGTTTAGGATTTCGAGAATATTTACCAATGTTCTTTTCTAACACTCGTCATATTCTCTCACATCAATGAATTGAAGGTGTACTTTCTGCTATCATTCTCCTGAAATAATAATCGAATAGAACAATGTATCCCAAAGCCCTGCTCTCGTTATCCGGCGGGTACTGAGACTACTCCACTGCAGTAAGTTCCTCCCTAAACCCCATGCAGCAAAGCCTGGAGTTGCCGGCGAGATTGGGACGGGGCTGTTCGATCTTGAGATCCCAGTCTCATATGATATGTAAGAATGAGTCAGAATGTAGTACACTATAGCATGCTATAGGATGGTTATATTATACTATATTATACGATCGGGGTTCGCACGGCTATCTGGGAAGTTTGCTTCTCTGAGCACAGAATTTTAGACTTTCCTCCATGCAGCCACTGATGGCTGAAGCTTAGGATGATGCTGCAGAGACCAGAGACCACCACAAGACCTTCAGACCAGGATGATATTGTTGATAGTGAAAATCCCGCCTAATCTGAGTATACCATACCTTGGGGATGCTTGTGCTATAGGTACTTGGGGTCACGCGGTCATGGAGGATGTCTAGTATTTTGCATCTAATGTAGCACAAAATTGCACTCGGCAAGCTGGTCTCCAACTGTCCCAATTTCCATTTCACTGCGACTTTTGTTTTTACTGGGTAGTATTCCTACATATCCCCCTACTTTCCGTTATTGGGTAATCTTGAGCTACATATATATATATATATATGTATATGTATCCATATATACCCTGATTCTTCTGATTCAGAGCCGAGGCTTCCCCTTGGATTTTTCGATCGTGAAATCCAACCCGTGCTGCTTGTGATGGTATGCCGGCTCTTATGAATCCTGCATTGCGGGGAGCCATGCTGAGTGGATGGTCAGATAGTTTTGAAAAATCAACACTTCAAGATTTCGATTCAGAAAGAATGTTTCATCAGAATCCTGAAGCATGCTACAGCTCCCAGAAAGATCCAGCCGGGTCTTGCCTTGCCTGCAGCAGGTAAAAAACTCAAGCCCACACAATGCACTTCCCAAACTATGCAAAACGGAATTCCCCCAAAAAGACAATGTATAGACAACCAGCCTTTACATCGGACTGTAGAGGGTTCCATCCTACCGTAGAATGTCAACTACTGGCCTCCTAAACAGAGTTGTTTATGGGTTTTTTTTAAATCTCAATTTGGGGCAGTTTAGGGTCTGAACCCGAAACCCTAGACCTTGAACCCGTAGCCCTAAACCCTAAACCCTAACCCCTCAACTGTCGGACTGCCTAAGTGCAGCCTATGGAGCCCGAGCCATGGACTTTGACTTTGACGTCGGACGAGTCTTGGTGCCCTGGCTGCTTGAAAGTACAAGGGTTTGGGTTTCGGATTTAAGGTTTAGGGGATAGGGTTGAGTATTTTTAGGGTTTATTGGAGGTTTCCTTGCAGTTTGGGGTTGAGGGTTGAGGGTTTAGGGCGAGGGTCCGCAGAATAGTTGGTAAGAATGGAATCCAGTTGGAAAGAATATGGAAAATGCAATGGAATTTGGGATTACATAGTGGTTAGCATGAAGAATGGAAGCAGAAGAGGCCGCATCAACAACAGCTGAGCAGGCACCATCGTCTCCAGAGATCAAGGACCCAAGCCCGCAGCATCAACAGCACAAAGAAGCTTGATGTCCGACCAAGCACTTGAGCCTTCTGCAGTTTTTCCGTCTCAAATAAGACCCCTGGAAAAGGCAAAACATGTCTTTCGTCAAGGTGTAACAACATGTAACAACTAGGGCGACCACGAATTATGATTGTTTTTGGGACCCGCAGAAGGGAGCTAATCTGCACAAATCATTATAGACGAAAGATCTGAATAATACAATCATTATAGGGACCACCAAACAGGGCCCTATCGTGAGCATTACAATCATCAAGAAGAGGCCCGCCAACTTGAAAATTGCAATCATGACGCACCCTAAGTTTGCCAAGCCATTTACCCTACGCCCAAATCCCTAAACCCTACGTACCTCAAAAAAGGCCCCCCAACTTGACTATAACAATCATCATGCAGCCTAAGTTGCCCGGAGTCCTAAACCCTAAACCCTAATCCCTAAATCCTAAGCCCTAAACCCCAAAACCATTTTGGGGTGTCTTCACACTGGCGAAGGTGCCATTCCTGGCGTCAGAGCCAGCAGATTCTGAGACGCCCCAGGTGGGGAACTAGCGCCACAGTTGAGGGTTTAGGGTTTAGGGTTCAAACTAAAGATTGGGGTTCAGGGTTTCGGGTTCAGGGTATATGGGAATATGGGAGTATGTACGGATCTTAAAGAGGTTCTGTAGGAGTAGATAGGAGTAGCATGGGATATGTCACAGGTTTAGGCTTCAGTCTTGAGAGAGTTTTGGTACCTACAAGAGTCATATACTGTAATAGTCGGGGTCCTTATTTCAGAGGTTAATGTTTGGTTCAAGCTGAGTCGGAGCGAGAAGAAGGGGACATGAGATGGAAGCTACTACAGGGTTCAGGGTTCAGGTTTTAGGATTTTGGGCTTAGTGGTTTAGGAATATGGAGAGTCAAGCAATGGACTGGAACACGTATCATGAAATGGAAGCTGAAGGTAAAGTGCACCACCACCAGATGCAATGAGAGAGAATGTGCAACCTTCAAAATCCCTCAGACGCCTGCGAGGTGGCACGCTTGGATGATGCCGTGCCCTGGAATGAGTTTGGGACACCCGAAGCCCAACACCTTCAACCCTGAACCCTACAAATCTGAACCTTACCGAACTCTATAAACCCTAACCCTACACCCTAGCTGAACCCTAACCCCTTAAGCCTCAACCCTAAAGCGCGGAGGTTGAGTGTTGGGAACTTGGGCTGGGGATACGAAAAAACATGGTTTGGTGTAGTAGTTGACTGGTTCGGGACTTTGGGCTTAGGATTTAGGGTGACGGGTTTAGGCTCAAGATTTCTGCTTTTGTGGCTGCGACAAACAGATCACAATCTGCAAGCTCCACGCATGCTTGCTTTGTAACGCTGAAGTTTTCAGCCTGGTCCGCCAGCTGCGAATCCCGAGTTTCAAGTTCAGCCTGAAATACTTGACCCAGAACCCTGAACCATCTGAGCAAAATGGGTATTTCCCAAAATAAGGGGTACCTTTTTGGAGGTATTTTGGGGTCTATATTGGGGTACAGGTACCCTTATTTAGGGCAAGTGCTCCACACTGCCGGCTGAAGACGTTCTCACTCGCTTGGAAATCTTAGTTGCATAAAGAGAAGCAAGCATAATTGCCCATGGGACCTTCGAAGCCCTAGCTAAACCTAGAAAACACAAACCTTAGGCCGTACACCCGAATTTCTCAATTTCCTGAAAGCCCTAGCTAAACTTAGAAACCACAAACCTTAGGCCGTACACCCGAATTTCTCAATTTCCTGAAATCCTAGACCCCAGACTATCACCAAAACACTTCAAATCATCCCAACTTGTGCTCAACATCCTCAAGTCCCATGCCCCAAACCCATAAATCAATTGAATCCCAAACCCCAAGCCCCAAACCCTAAAGCCTGAAAACCCTAAGCCCAAAATCCCAAGCTCCTAATAAGCCCCAAAACCCATCCCGAAAAGCCCACCAAGGCTTTGAACACTTCCAAAGCTGCTGCCCTGCGCGAGCTGCTGGACGCTTTGGGAGAAGGATCCAGGCCATGGCTTAGGTTTTAGGGTTTAGGGTTTGAGATTTAGAGTTTAGGATTCAGGGTTTAGGGTTTAGGGTCTAGGATTTAGGGTCTTGGGCCTAGGGTTTGGGTTTAGGCTCTAGGGTTTCGGTTCAGGATTTAGGCTTTGCGGTCCAAGGGTTTCTCAAAATTGCTGGTTCTTAGGATTCCTTGGAACTCACGGAGATTATAAAGGTTTTGGGTTTAGGATTCAGGGTTTAGGATTCAGGGTTTAGGGTTTAGGGGTGGGAGGGATAAATTTGACGGGATTCTGGCGACTGCCATTAGGAATTTTCAGCTTTTCCCGCACGCTGCCTCGGGGCGCTGATTCACATTGAGCTTACAGTCCATAAGCCCTTCACTCTACACCCTTGCATGACTTCGGTTGCCTCAAACTGGGGGGCTGTGCAGGAACTTAGATTCGTGATCAGGAAACCATTTCACTTACCACAGATCTATATCATGGTGACGTAGTTTACGTTGCAA